CCCCCAAAACCCCAAAACCCCAAAACCCCAATTTTGATGCTAAAATTGATTATAATAATTATAAATAATTATTTATAAAGATGCTATCAAATAAATTATTTAAGCTCCTTACGCCAGCCAAGTACGGCAGGACTTTCTGCTTTGTCTCCAAGTATTCAGAGGATTCCATCCCTGGAGCTATTAAAAAGGCGAGAGCTGAAAATGAATGGATTGACGTCGCCAGATTCCACTCACAAAACCAAAACTGGACTATTAAAGAGCTTGACCAGCATAGTGCAGCATTTGCTTATGGTCTTGTTGAGAGAGGATATACTCCAGGAGACAAACTCCTCTTATGGGTAGATGAGGAAAATGCAGCTGAAGTAGCAGTTGCTCATCTTGGAGCTATCAAAGCAGGAGTTTCTATTGTTGCAGTTGGACAGAATGATGATGCCCATCATATTGGAGATACAATCTTCCAATCAGAAGCTAATGGAATCCTCTTCTCTCCTCATACAAGTATTAATGGGAAAACTCAGAGGGCGAATTTGTTATTAGATTTAATGCCTGAACTTATTGATCATACTCCAGGGCAGGAATTGAAAGTTGACAATTTCCCAGAACTTAGGAATGTGATCCATACTGGTCACTCTTCAATTAGAGGAACTACAAAATTTAAGGAAACTCTTTTATATACAAAGCCTAACTTGACAACCCTAAAAATTCAAGGTACTACTGGAGATGCCACTGCTGTTGAATACTATAAAGAGGGAGAATATGTTACCGGAATCACCAATACAGAATTTTTGGGAAAGGCTCAAGAAGTTTGGAATAGTTATTTAAGCCAAGGAAATAAGAGGTTGCCTATATTCCTTACGTTATCTCTTCAGACACCTTTAGGATTTACCACTTTTATTGCTAGCATAACCAACGGACGGAAAGTATTTATCCCATCTTCTTACAATGTTGCTAAAATAGCCAAGTCCTTTGGCTACCAAAGAAGTGATCTCCTCATTTGTGATGAAGCTCTCTACAGTTTCAAAGCACCAGGGCATGTAGCAGAAGAAGTTGAAGAGAGCAAAGGATACTTTGAAAAAATTCTTGTACCTTCTGACAGCACTGGGGTAGGCTTTGAAGTTTATAATGAATTCTAATAAATCTCTTGCAGTTTTAGTCTTGAGAATACATTCAATAAAAATAATAATAAAAGGGGTTTTGGGGTTTTGGGGTTTTGGGGTTTTGGGGTTTTGGGG